ATTCATACACTCAAAATGATTTTTGGGTGAATGAGAAATTTATGGTCTAAGTATGGTACTTGGAATGGTAAATATAGAAGGAAAATTGCAAAAATCCCACATTGGCTAGGAGTGAAGCCAATGTGGTGTTTATAAGTGATTGCACTTTAAAGTCTAGGTAAGCATGTATACCAGATACGCTCTCTGACGCGCATGGGGGGTGCGAATCATGATCTTGGCGAGTTGGGGGCCAATGTGTGCGCCCGCAACCTGCGGACACGAATGCCAGACCGAAAAACCCGCTCCATGCGAGCTTACTTTTGCAATTTTTATTTTTACTTCAGCCAAGTCCTTCCAGCTTTCAGTCGTTTGGCTGAGCATAAAGCTGTGCTTAATGGCTGGTAAATGAGCATAATGGAGGCTTAATGGTGATCAATGGAGGTAAACCCTTTTTGCCAGGGTTAATAAGCTTAATACCATCAGTTTCAGTCATAAAGGTCCGAACCTTGATGTACAAAGGTGGCCGAATTCATCTTGAGGGAAATGAATGGTTTCTTGGCTGTAATAATGTGAGATTAAGCCCCATAATTGCTTGATTCCGAAACCCTTTTTCTCAAGACCCTATATAAAGGGTTCTCCCCATGAAGGAAAGACACATATTTCAGAAATCTCTCCCTCTCTCTCGGATTCTCTCTTGCTTCCGAAGTTGTGTGTCTTTCTTTGTCTTGTTAGTTCGGTTTTCGTGATAGAGGAAAGATCCAGTTCTAGTTCGCCGGACGGTTCCGAAAGTGCATCGAGCTACTGTCGTTGTCGTTGTATCCTGTGAGACAGACATCCAACGTAACCTCAAGCATACGCCGGAGGGGACAAATCTGTTTAAGGAAAACGCGGTCCACGTGCCTCGACATCCTTGCAACTTTCATTCTCGAGTTTTTGGTAAAAAGGTTGAATTACAATTACATGCATTTCGGTTTTGTTTTTCCTTAACTTGTTCCTCTTTTGTATTATCCACTATTATTTCGGCTAACATAACCCTCCCCAGAGGCCAACAGTTCGGAGCATCACCCAAGGGCAGCATCGGACTCCAGCCCCTTGGAACCTACAAGAGAGGTGACTCAAAGAAAGGCATAGGGAAAAAAAAAAAAACCATAGTAGAGCAAAGAAAGAGAAAGTCTTGAATGTTTTGTTTTAAAAGATTGTTCTTTCAAACTATAAAACAACGAAAAATATATCAAAGATTTCTCTTTAGCCTATATATTACGTACATTCTGCCACTTTTGCTTTGCACTTTTAGTTTTAATAAATTGCTTTGAATTTTTTTATTTCTAACCACTTCAATCCTTACACACTAAAATGGATAATATATTTCCAAAATTTTATAGAGATCATAACATTTTAGACACTACAATTTTTAAAGAAATAAATATATTAAATTTTAAGTACTATTTTTATTGTTATTACAAACTATTAAAAACTAGTATTTTACGTTTGATGTAACTCTTTCTATAAGAATTTGAATTAGTACGCATCTGTGACGTGATTATCTTTAATAAATTTCAAAAATTTACCAATTTTACTATGCATTGAGCAAAATGGTCAAAAATCAAAAGTTCAAAGAGCAATTAATTACGATTAAAAATTTAGGGACTAAAGTGACAGAATAGACAGAATTTAAGGACTAATTGGATTAATTACCATTTCTAGAAATACATTTCATTTTGCTAAACAAAGTTTTAGGTTGCATTAATCAAATGTTAAAGAATGCAAGGAAAAAGTAATATGATTGGAAAGGGACTAAAGAAATAAGAATAAAGATTATTGATTCACTTTTCAGTGTTTATATGTATATTAGATAGTATAATAGAAAATTTTTTCAGTGTTACTGAATTTAGGAATAGCAGTATTAAAGACGTGATTTACTAAAACATGCATAACTATTTAATTATTGGTTTATAACATGTGAACTTATTGAGAGCGTATAAGTAAATTTGGTGTCTATTTTCTTTTACAAGGAATTAATATCATTTATTACTTAACCTAATTATTTTAAAACCCCACAAGTGTGATTAAAAGAGGATTAACTAAGAATAAACAAGCTTATTTGACTCATGCCCCGCTGAAACACAATCCACGCAAGTTCTCCGAACGTAGCTTGGATCAACAAAATGAGCCCAATCATGTCGCAGGATGGGACTTTTACACTCCGTTTGGTAGGAGGAAAAGAACAGATAATGGAAAGAAAACACATAAAAGAAAGAAAATGTGAAGGAAAGGAATGAAGTTGATTTTTCTTTATAGTGTTTGGTATAATAAGAGGAAAGAAAACATGTAATAGCATAAATGACTATTTTATCAATTGTTTAATATTAATTTAGATTTTAAAATAGGGACACAAAAGTAAATTTAGCTATCAATGAGTGGATTTGAGTTTTCCTACCAATATTAGAGAGATAAAAAATGGTGGGCCCCACTATAATTTTTTTTTTTCCATCATCTATTCCTTCTTACCAAACAACTAACTATTATTTTCCATTCAATAATCCTTCTACTCACTTCCGTCCTTTCACTTTTCCATCATGCCAAACATAGTGTTAGGCATTAGAGGTGTAATTCAGCTGGGTAGGCTCGGGTTGGGCCGAAAAATTGGGCCGAGCCGCACGGTGTGGGTTGAGACAACTTTAGGCCGCAACACCCTTTTAAGCCCACAAACCCGTAACTTATCGGGTGACCTCGGGTAGGCTTAGATTACCCGGCTTACTCGGTTTGGTCAGCTTGGGCCCTGGACATTGGGCCTGTGTCCAAAGTAGATATGTGTTTTATAGCAATGGAACACCAACTGGCAGAGTTCACTCACCTAGTTAAAATTCTTAAACAGAAAGAATTAGAATCAACATTTTTAGAATCAAACAAGTTGATAGAAATTCAGTTCAACAAGCACCACCCAATTAGCAAATGATCAACTACCAGTACCAAATTTTCTACCCAAACAAAAATCACTAAACAGATGCACCATCAATCAGCAGACACAATCAACATCTCTTGCAAATAACCAAATAGTGAAACAATGATGTGAAAATTTGAACATGATTTTAGACATTGCCTTTCGTCTTCCCTGTAAAAGAAAACCTCACGCCTAAGGAGAAGGGAGAAAGAATTACCCGGTCAGATAATCCACTATCTTGGCAAGTCTCTAAAGAGCTTTCAATGACTGCATCGATTTCATCACTTGGAAAATTAGCAACTTTGATACCATCAACAGTTTCCAAGTCATTATCAGTGCCTGTAACTGAAAAATCAAGAAGAGGGGAGTAGTCAGTTTGGCATGTGAAGTAAGTGTTTATGAATGAAACAACAATGGCGAGGAGCCGAGGACTTGAGGGAGGTTGAGAGGCTGAGGCGCAGACAGAGAAGAAGAGAAAGAAGAAAGCCTCGTTCGTTTCGCTGATTCGAGTTTAGAATTTGAGTTGAGATGTGATTATATGTGAGAGCTTTTTACTGTAGCAAAAAAGTTAGATGTGATTGTTTGTGAGAACTTTTTACTGTAGCAAAACTCGAATCAGCGAAACAAACGAAGCCGAAATGAATTAGGGGGGATGAAATGTCTAACCCTAGGGAAATTGATTTGGCCGGGTTGGCCTTCCTCGGGTTCAACTAAATCCAACCCGGCACCCGACCCGCACTTTGCGGGTTTGGCGTAAATGCATCTAAAAAAATAAAATAAAAAAATTTTTCTACTATATTCGGGTAAGGTAGGGTCGGCTTGGGTGGGTTCGTCGGGTTTGGGCTCATTTCTTGCACCCCTATTAAGCATGGACCCTTTTATGGACCTAGTATAAAAATGACCCTCAACAACTGTTATCGGATTGCTGGTTGGAGACACAAGATTTACATGTGACCTAGTTTGAAAAATGACGAGTTTTATCTTTTACGTACAAGTCCTGCATCTAAAACTTTCAATTCGATAATGTTTATTGGTTATTAGACATCAATTTCTACTAATTTTAGAATTTATGTTGTAATTTGAGAAAAATTTAAAACTTTAGTATATTATAAAAAATGAAAAGTTTAAAATGCAACGATATAAGGTCATTGATTTTATTTTTTTAAAAAATGGAGGAATTTCAATCATTTTAATAGCGTGGTTTTGGTGATTCTTTTGAAATAATCGTGACTTTGTCTTCGTTCACTTCGCGGATTCGAGATTCAATTCGAGCTGAGATGTGACATTTTATGAGAATTTTTAACTGTAGAAATTTAAAACTAAAAACTCAAACGGTAAAATGATCATAGAATATATATATGGGAAACATTATCATAGAATATATCATTACGATCGCTAATATTCATAATTATTAGAAAATTTTGACTACTAGGAAGAAAATAATCAAAATTAGTATTTTAAACTAATTTTTAAAATATTTATCAGTAGTAAAAATACTTAACCCTTAATGGTGTTTTTTGGCTGTTAAAAAATAATTCGTTATAAGCAAAATGTTGTTTTAATATACTTCAATAAATGAAAATTGTTTTATGTAGGATTAGAACAAATTAATTATCCCTGGTCCTGTTCATTTCATCGATTTGAGTTTAGAATTTAAGTTTTGCTACAGTAAAAAGCACTCAGAAACAGTCACATCTAATTTTTTTATTACAGTAAAAAGTTCTTACGTAAATTCACATCTCAACTCAAATTAAAAATTCAAATCAGTTAACAAAACGGGTCCCTTAATTTGTTATTTGTAGTAATCATATTTTTATTAAAAATTATTTATCTTATATAATTTTTTAATTTAATGTGATTTTAATTAAATTTAAAAGTAAATATTAGAGTTAATGTTAGGGTCTCGTAAAGAAACTATGGTCGCAATTGTATCTTCTTTTTTTAAGGAAAAAGAACGTTTCGAATTTTTTATTTTATTTTTATTTTTGTATTTTTTTGCCCCCATTTGTGGGATAGGTTACCAAAAGGCCTAACCTAACGAACATATCCCCGCAGTCAGAGAGCGCCGACATCAAAACAAAACCTTTGAAATAAATTTTTTTTTTGTTTTCTTTTGTTTTTAAATCGAAGTAAAAACCCCACTACTGCTAGAAAAGGAAAAGAGAGAAAAATAAAGGCATAGGTGTAGCCAAAACAGAGAAAAAAAATTATTTTGCCATTGACAACAGCATACCACCCACACTGTATTTCTAATCTCTCTCTCTCTCTCTCTCTCTCTCTCTAAAACACACAATGCAAAGGCAGTCTCTCGGCTCGCCGGTCTCGAAGCTCCACGGCCATGGCGGACAGAAAGAGGAGTCGCTCTTAGTGGAGGACGATCCCAAGCGAAAGGATCTCGTAGCCTCCTCCTCCTGCTCCTCCACCTCTTCCACCGCCGACTACGGCTACGAAGACGACAGCAAAGCCGCGAAGCCTCGCCGCTTGTCGTCGTCGCCGCCTCCTCTCAGGCCGGACCGGTGCATCCACCTCATTCCCGTCCTCACGCTCCTCTGCTTCCTCATTCTCTTCCTCTTCTCCCATACTCCTTCGCAGTCCGGTACGTCCTCGATCGCCATTAAACCGCTAAATCGTCCAAGAATTCTCTCTTCTCGTCCGTACTTTCTTTCTTAACATTCTGTTTCTGTATCTGTTTCAGATATGGCTCAGTTCAAAGGATTCAAATGGCCTGCGAATCGTATAGGTACAGCAATGCCGATTGCGTTTTTCAATTTTCTTTCGCGTTTTTTTTTTTTTTGATTCTCTTATGGCGATTTTTTCCGTTTCGTATTTCTTGCTTGTAGATTCGGCTGAGAACGAAATCGGCGATATCGGCCGATTCTCGGAGCTCCGAAAGAGCGACGTTCTGGCGATTCGCAGCCTCAGAAACCTTCAGGAGATCCGAAAACAGGCTCCGAAATCTCGTTACCACAGAAAATTCGCCGATTTCTGAGCTGCATTTCTTCTGGTTCTTTTTCTCCTTCTTCTTCCTCCTTTCTCTGTAAGTCTGTACTACTCTTCTTCCCTAATTTACACGTACGACGGCTTCACACGCGTGGGAATTCACACGTGCGTGACGCTTCCCCTGCTTCCACCACCCTTCCTAGTTATCTTACCATTCTTTTCGCACTTGTACATCGAATTTGTTTTATTTTGTGAAAAAAAATCCCTAAAAATAAAACGAGATAATGATATAATATATAGGGATATTAGAGGGGTTTTATTCTTTGGGGCGTACGTTAGAGTGATTCTCTGGGGAGTGCACTAAGTTGCGCTTTGTGAGTGGCATTTAAGAGGAGTGAAAAATGCAAAACAGCTGGATTTTTTTCGTACGACTTTACCGTTAGTTGGTGCGCACCTCGATTTGGGAGTATGGGATTGCCAGCCTGGAGAGGCCTACTTCGTTTAGGAGGGAGAATCAGGTGCTTCTAGTACCCATTACTGTTACCGTGGACTATTCCATTTTTCACGTGCGATGCATAGATTTTCCGTGATGCTGATCTTGACTGCATACCACGTCATCGAATGATAAATGTCATTTATTGGTTGTTGCAAATATTTGTCGCCCGCTTTATAAAATGGAATACAAATTACAATAGAGATTCTTCTCTCTCTTTGTCCCTCTCATATTTTTGTTCTTTTGGAATAATTGGTGTATTTATAATTCTTGTGATTAGTATGCTTTAACCAAAACGAAAATTGTTTTCTTTTAAGTGCTTGATATGTTCCATGAGACAAATTCTTATCTTTTTTCTTATTATTCTTAGGCCTTGTTTATTTTAACGATTTAAATTTTCAGTTTTAAATTTTTACAGTAAAATTTTTTTTAAAAAATATCACATTTAATTTTTTCTGTTATAGTGAAAAATTTTAAAAAAATATCACATATCAGCTTGAATTGAAAATTCGAATTCGTAAAGTGAACGAGATCAATGAATAGATTAGTCTTTTATATATCCTTCTAATTTTTATTATTGTTAATTATTATTGTTATTATTATTGGTTTGGCTGATCAAGAGTCGAGAGACGCCTACTAATTACTATTGTCATTCTAATCTATATTGTGAACGTCAACATCATTATTAGACACTTCATTCCTTCTAACTCGAAAAGAAGAATTTCTTCCCAATTTGTTAAAGATTTGCGTTATCCATTATAATGTGCCAACTATCATTGAATATCCTTCTATCTAATTATCGTCTTTTATTTTTGGATTCAAATTAATCGCCTGTCTAATTTCAGTGTTTAGAATGTGTCTAATAATTTAAATTTTATCATATCATTTAAAAATTTAAAATATTTTTTCAATTAACTTTTTCTTATTTTCATATTTAAATTTATTAAATAACGTGTATCATTATGATTAATTAGACACCAAAAAATAGAAAGCAAATTTGAGTCTTTTATCTTTTTTGTGCTTAATTGCTTTTAAAGGAAATAAAAATGCAGGATAATATTATTGCTACCCTATGTTATAGCGACCTTTTCATATCTTGTATTTTTCATAATATTAAAACGATACTTTGAAGTTTTTAAAAACATCTTCTTAATATCATGAAGTTGATTTTTTAGATGTAAAATAACCTTAATTTGCTTCTATTTAATTAATTAAAAACTAATAAATCTAGAGAAAAATCATGAACGTTTTTATATTGTTGTTTCTTTTTAAATATTTAATACTTTTAAAATATTATTTTTTTCAAAAAAATTTTGATTTCAAGCAAAAAAAAAAAAAAGGATAGTTTAGAGATTATACCTGTTTCAAACTTCACTTTCAAAAAAAAAAAGATGATTATTGTTTTAATATTATAAAAAACACATGCCTTGTTTTTTTTTTTTTTTCCACAAATTTAGTTACAACTCAAGTTCTATTATTATAGTATTTTTTCATAAAATTTTAAATTTAATTTTTTTGTCATAATATTTTTTTAACATACACAACTTAAATTATTAATTTGAAAATTTGAGTTTTAAAACAACACAATACTAAAATATGTTTTTCTATATTTTTATATAATATAGAGTATTAAAATGATTTTAGTTTCGAAATTTTTTTTTTTTTGTTGATTGGCAATACCTCTTGCAATTAGCAGCTCATAAGTAATCTCTAGCAATTCTTTTTTAAAGTTAAAAAAAAAATACATACACGTTTCACAATATTGGGATATGCAACGCGAAGAAATTTATGCTTCAGAAAGTGTCGGTGGGCAGCGAAAAGCCTGACTCTCTCTTCACCGTTTGCCCGTTTGGTTTTGGGAAGAAAATTTGAAAATGAGATGATGAGCTGGTGGATGGTCATGATCACGTATGATCTGACAGGTGTCACCATCCTACGCCTATGACAAAACCATGTGGTACCTCACGGGGGCTCACAGCAAAAGCGTCATCGACCATTATTTGCTTGTTACGTGGAAGGTGTTTTAATGATTAAGTCCTTTTTTTTAAAATTCTAATTTATATTTTTCGTCTTTTGGCTGGAAGATGAGATGATTACTTTTGGGTGGGCCCAGTGTTTCTATAATTATTGCAACATTATGGGCCCTCTCTTTGGGAAGGGTCCCACAGTCTCTGGCCCGAATAGCTTGGTATCCTCTTTGGATAATCTTTTCGGAAATTTTAAAAGAAATTCAAAGATGTTTTTTTTTTTTTTTTAAGAAATCTTTAGGTTGGCTAATCATTGGTTGGGTGGTAAAGTTTGAGAGATAACTGATAGGGTTGAAGGCTGGAATCATCGAGAAAAATTATATTTAAAAAAGAAAAAAACTTGACAGAGTAAAAAAAAAAAAAAAACGCCACATTAATTAATAATGTTATATGAACAATATTAAGGATGAAAAATTATTTAAAAAAATTTTGGTTTTCTAATTGAAATATTGAAGTATGTTGTACTCATGATGCTGAGTGAGAGTTTATTATATATATTATTCTAAACGACTCTTGCGCCCCAAGCATTCAAATAACGACACGTAATTGATTTTACACTCCTAATTATCAGTTTCTTAATTACTTGAGGACGACCAGTTGGTTGATTATTTTGTTTCTTATGTCAAGAAAAATAATAATTACAAGTTTTATTCTCCATGCGAAGTCATCAGTTTATAGTATTCCGTGTCTATGGAAGTTATCTTTCTATATCGTTTTTTTTTTTTTTTTTTTCAGTGAATCTTCTATATAGTTCTTTTTTTGTAAGCAATTTTTCTAATTAGTATTTTATTTAATTTTGCTAGACATCTTTCTAAACAGTTATTACAGAAGAAAGATAACCCCCTATTTGGCCAACAACCTCCTTTTGCTTTTCTTTTCCCAGGCTTATATATTTTTTAGAGCATGTTTAATTTATGTATTTAAAATTATAATTTAAAATTATTCTTATTTTATGTATATTTTTATAAGAAAAAATACGGTAAAAAATCATAAAACAAACATCCCTTACCCACTAATCCATTGGTTAATCCATATTCATTTGTTCACGGTACACTTCACGGGCTGGTTTTCTATGGTGGGGCCCCTTAGGTAAATCACAAGGATTGTATTAATTATTATTATTTAAAAAAAAAAAGCCCATTCAGCCAACCAAAAAATTGCACACGAAGATTGGGGTTAAAAAATGGCACTTATGAAAACGTGCCATCTCAGATACGAAGGATTTCATTATATGTAGTTACCTTATCCAAACTCCAACTCACGGACATCGAGAGAAATGACAGCTTAAAGAGATTGAAATAATGAAACATTCGTAATTATACATGACTTTCTGCTAATGTTAGGACATTAAAAATTGTCCCACAGTCCACAGAGATTTTCTCGTTTTCTTTTTTCTTCGTCGTCCTCCTTTATCTCTTCAAGGCTAGATGGTCTTATTCAGTTCATCAACCCACATTAGTTCTCTCCGTTTTCTTCATTTATGAGTGATTTTGAGTATTTATTACTTGAGTTTACAATTGGGGTTAAAAGTGTTTGTTGGTCTGGTTGTAGATAATATTGCAGTGACATTAATGGCAGCCACATTCTGTAATCTTAGTCCAGGGTCTGGTTTGAAGAAACTGGACGAGAACTTTCCAAGGCAAAGATTCTTCAAGAGGCAAGTTCATTTCCTTTAAAAAAAAATAATCATAAAGAAATAAATTATGCTCTCTTGATTTTGAGGTTACTTGGGATTGTGCATTTGTGGGGTATCACAAAGGAATATAAGGAAAAGTTTCTTCATTTGTTTCAAAGTTGTGAATGTCTTCTTTGAGATGGAAGTTTATTGGATTCTGACAAGTAATTTCTTACTTAATACTTTAATGGCATGCCTAATTCATCTTGACATATCAGAATATTAGTTACAAGGGTGATTAGTAAAGATGTTAAAATGAACTTCTAGACAAGAGTTGGAGTGTTGAACAATATCTAACGCCTAAATGTGGCCCAGTTTGGGATCGTTGTGCTTTTATTAGAAGCATTACTTTGGTCAAAGTGAAAATAAAAGTAGAAGTCCAATTTAAAAGCTACGAATTCTAACTTTTTTAAATAACATAAAAAGTGCATTGGTCTTGCAAAGTGCTTTTATAAACTTTTACCAAACACTGTAGTTGCGTCCTTTTTTGTGTAAAAGCGATTCCAAACTCACCTTGTGTTTGCATGATTTAAAATGACTACCCAATCAAACTCTAAATAGAATCTCATTTAAGTCATTGAAGAAGTGCACCTTGAGTAAGTTAGAAAGCATTAGCCTTTTCATATAAAAGTTACATAATTGATGGACCAAATTTTTATTGCTTTGGGGTGATTCGGAAGAAAGAGATAAAGGGAGTTATGAGCCATGCTTTTAGTTTTACTGATATCGCAAATCTCTCAGGTCTTATCCGGGCTCAAAGAGTTCATCATGCGACTATGCTCAAAACTTTCACCATAGGACATATAGCAGATACTTGAAAACACAGCTATGGAACCACTATCCACGGGCTTTTGTTGATGATCAGGAAGATCAATCCTACACCATTCATGAAGCAGATAAAGAAGAAGACATTCCTAAGGCAACCTTGATATGGAGAGCAATAAAGTTACCGATATACTCCGTTGCATTAGTTCCTCTCACAGTGAGTGCTTTTGACACTATGAAAAGTTCATGAAAAACGAACTCAATTTTGTTTCCTTGTCTGTGCTTTTTTTAGTTCTTTTTGTTAGAAATCAATAATTTGGTGAAAACTATCACCCAAAAGTTAAGAATATTCATGTTAGATCATAAAAAATTAATACATCTGTAAGCGGAAGCGTACCTGAATCCATATTGCTTGATTTCTTTCTAGAGTCGTGCAGTTTGTCTTCCAGATCAACACGTTTCCTAAAGAACCCTTTAACTTTCTCTCTGTACTCTTTCTGATGATGAGATGTCAGAAGGAATGAAAATGTTACGTATGATCTGGGGACCATAACTGCCATTTATCGATAACTTCCCTGTTATTTTTTGGTATTTCTATTTTAGTCCATCATCAAAATAGAAATTACCCTTAAGTCTCTACACATTAAAGGTCCACACTCTATTAGATACATTAAAGCCCAAAATACCTAAACCTTAGTAGATCACTTTTAATTAGGCTTAACCTTATATGACAGTCCGCAACACATAATTATTCACATATAAGCTCAATGTTGGATTAAGGATCCAACAATCTCCCACTTGGGCTATATGTGTAACCTTATAATTATGCTTTGTAAAATTAACCGTATGAGCTCAACTTTGCTGTCATTATCGAAATGTATCTGTAACCAATCTGGCCCATCAATCATACCAACATAGGATCAAAGCGGCCTTCGTTACAACTGTCGTAACTCGACCCATCAATGGTCACATATGCCAATACAACTGAATGACATGGATTATGATGTGAATGTGTAACATGGAATTTCATGTAATGTGATCTTAACATGCCTATTTCTAACTGGTCCTCCTTAAACCTTAGTGAGATCAAACCATACTAAAATTAGAGTGTGAATAAACTAAAACTTTATTTCTACAGAAAATAACCTCAAAATATCCATAAACTGAAATAACTGAAAATATGTGTATATGATAAAAGCATCTAAAATTACAAACTCCCACTAAAACTGAATATCCTCTAATGACATGACACCCATATGAGCAGTGTGCTCATGAAACACTTTGGGTGGCAATCCCTTAGTAAGCGGATCCACAACCATGGAATTTGTACCGATGCGCTCTATAGACAATTGTCCACTATGAACTCTTTCCTTGACAACTAGGAACTTAATGTCTATATGCTTTGACTTCGTCGAGCTCCTGTTGTTGTTGGAATACATCACTGCTGATGTAGTGTCACAAAATAACTTAAGTGGCCTTTCAATGCCATCCACTATGCGCAGTCCCGTGACAAAATTCCGCAGCCATATTCCATGATTGGACGCCTCATAACATGTTATGAACTTTGCTGCCATGGTAGAAGAGGCTATAAGAGACTGTTTAGCATTCTTCCAGGAAACAACACCTCTAGCTAGCAGGTAGATATAGCCCGACGTAGATTTCATACTATTTAGGCATCCAGCAAAATCGGAGTCAGTATACCCAACGATCTCAAACTGATCCGACCTCCGATACGTGAGCATGTAGTCTTTTGTTCTTTGCAAGTACCGCAAGACCCGTTTGGCTGCTTTCCAATGGTCTACTCTTGGATTACTTAAATACTTGCCCAACATCCCAGTAACGTACGCAATATCCGGACGCGTACAAATCTGCGCATACATTAGACTTCCTATTGCTAACGCATAAGGAATCTTCTGTATTTTCTTTTCCTCAAAATCATTATTAGGGCATTGATTTAGGCTAAACTTGTCTCCTTTAGCCACATGGGTATCACTTGGTTTGCAATCCTGCATGCCATATCTTTTGAGAACCTTTTCAATATAGCTCTTTTGTGATAATCCAAAAATACCCCGAAAGCGATCCCGGTGTATCTGTATGCCTAATACAAAAGAGGCATCACCAAGATCTTTCATCTCAAAATTCTTAGCTAGAAATCTCTTGGTTTCGTGCAATAAGCCTATATCGTTGTTGGCAAGCAAAATGTCATCGACATATAAAACTAGAAAAATGCACTTACTCCCACAGAACTTATGGTATATGCAATCATCGACCAAATTCATCTCAAAACCAAATGAGATGATCACTTGATGAAACTTGAAATACCATTGTCGAGATGCTTGTTTGAGTCCATAGATGGATTTCTTAAGTTTGCAAACCATATTCTTTGAGTCTTTCGACACAAAGTTTTCTAGTTGCATCATATAGATTGTCTCATCAATGTTTCCATTGAGAAACGATGTCTTTACATCCATCTGATGTAACTCAAGATTGAAATGCGCCACTAATGCCATTATAATCCTGAAAGAGTCTTTTGAAGAAACCGGAGAGAAAGTCTCTTTATAGTCGATGCCTTCCTTTTGTGTAAAGCCCTTTGCGACAAGACGCGCCTTGTACCTCTCCACATCGCCTTTCAAATCCCTCTTAGTCTTAAATATCTATTTGCAACCAATGGGTTTCGCTCTGGGACAAGATCCCATACGTCATTGTCCTTCATGGACTTAATCTCCTCATTCATGGCATCAATCCATTTATGAGAGTTAGAACTTTCCATGGCTTGACGGAAGTTGATCGGATCATCTTCTATCACTCCAATGTCTACCTCATGTTCTTGGAGAAATACAATGTAGTCATATGGCACCACACTTCTCCTTTCTCTAGTGGACCTCTTTAATGACATAGGTTTTTGAGGTGGTAGAGTTTGTTCTTCTGGAACAACTTCTTGTATGTGAGGTTCTCTGACATTGTCTTGATTTGTTGTGTATTGAACAAGGTCAGGAATGAGATCCTGATAAATGTCAATAGCACATGTGGGAATATCAACATATTCCTCTTCGAAGACAAAGTCCCTAACTGTATCTCCCCCGGCAAACTCGACATCCTCAAAGAACCGGGCATTTCCAGACTTGAAAATCGACTTAGTCGTGGGATCATAAAACTTGTACCCTCTGGATCTTTCAGAGTATCCAGTAAAATAGCAACTTACTGTCCTTGAGTCTAGTTTCTTTTCATTAGGCCTATAAGGTCTTACTTCAGCTGGACATCCCCAAACATGCAAATGCTTTAAACTAGGCTTCTTGCCCATCCAAAGCTCATAAGGGGTTTTGGCAGTCGCTTTAGTTGGAATCCTATTAAGGATATATGCTGCAGTCTTAAGCGCTTCTTCCCAGAGTGATTCTGGTAAGGTTGAATGACAAATCATACTCCTCACTATGTCTTTAAGCGTTCTGTTTCGTCTTTCAGTAACACCATTCATAGTGGGCGAACCCGGCATAGTGTACTGTGGGACGATACTACATTCCTCTAGGAACTTAGCAAACGGCCCTGGACGTTGTTCACCTGAACCGTCATATCTACCATAGTATTCACCACCATGGTCAGATCTGACACTTTTGATCCTTTTGCTGAGTTGGTTCTCAACTTCAGCCTTATAATTTTTGAACACATCCAGTGACTGTGACTTTTCATGAATGAGATATATGTAGCCATATCTAGAAAAATCGTTTATGAACATTATAAAATATTGTTGACCATTCCAAGCAACCGTAGGGAATGGCCCAAATAAAATCCAGTCTTGAATAATAATCTAAATTTTCCTATTGCTTCAACTTGAACCGTTTTGCCATCGCCCACATAAATGTATCTTTTACCATCACTTGGCTTTCGGCAACTCAGGCAACCCTGCATAGACACACTGATGTGAGTTGTTGCACCAGAATCTATCCACCACGTGTGTCTAGGTACCGAAGTTAAATAAACCTCAGAACAAACCAAACTAAGAAGCATACTTTTCTTAGCACGCCATGCGTGATAGTTGGTGCAATGCTTTTTCCTATGCCTTTCAACTCCATAGAAGTAAAAACCTGTACCTTCCGGTTCAACCGGTTTCTTTTGTTGTTTCTTCTGAGGTGCTGTATCTGCAGCTTCCTTCTTCCCTTTTTTCCCTTGTCCTTGTCCTTAGAGGTTGAGGCCAGGTGAGCACTTTCTGCCTTATCTTGCTTCAGCCTTTCCTCTTCCTGAACACAGTGTCATATGAGCTTATTCAGAAACCAAGTCTCTTTCTGACAGTTGTAGCTCACCTTAAACTGGTTAAACTGTGCCGGAAGGGATATCAAAACTAGATGCACCAGCAAGTCCTCAGAGAGTTCAAGCTTAAGTGCTTTCAACTTTGAAGCAAGATGAGACATCTCTAGGATGTACTCCCTGATATTGCCTTTGCAACTATACCTCATTGAAATTAGACTTGTCAAGAGCGTACCTATTTCAGCCTTTTCGTTCTTGACAAACCTCTTTTCAATGTCCGCAATGAACTCCTTAGCCGTAGTAATCTTATCAGACATTGTACCCCTAAATGCTTCCGGAATGGCCTTCTTCATGATCATCATACACATGCGATTTGATTTCTCTCCCCTTTCCATATCCATCTTTTCATCAGAGGTACTCTTATCTATAAAAGGTGGAGGAGAATCAACCCTTAATGCAAGGTCGAGATCCATGACTCCGAGAACTATCAAGAGGTTCTCTTGCCATGACTTAAAGTTAGAGCCATTCAGCATAGGAATAGAGTTGATGTTGGCAGTAATATTAGCAGGAGTCATAGCTAAACAGAGAACAACAAACAAACAAACAAAACAAGCTCACATAAGTCCCAAAACAAAAATTAAATTCAAATAAAGGTAAACCCCATCTCAAGATACCGGGCACTCCATTAACATTTCATCTCTGGACAAAATGTTAACTTGTAATTGATACCTTAGTGTAGTAATCAAACACTGATAATAAGAACACGCCAAACAATAAATCTTCCTTTGGGCCGATTTATTGTTCACATGTAAAACCGAATAATTATCATGCGTTTATTACCACATGTGCACATGTAATTCTGTTAAATATTGACATTCTTTTAGGCCGATCAATATTCACATACGTTATATATACACAACTGTTTATATTCTAAAAACAAATTAATTTCCACAAGAGAGGTCACTTTGGTAACATGTTGCTTTAATTAATTCATCTCAAAATATATATAACCATACCAATATCTGAATTTAAAATTGCACCAAAATGACCAAAAAGAAAAAAAAATTTAAAAATAAATAAAAATAAAATTTTTTTAGGTCAAAGTCAACAGTCAACATTGACCGGTCAAAGTCAATGGTCAAGTGTTGACCGGGTCGGGTAAACCCAACCCGGATCCTAAACCAGCCCACTTCTTTAATTTGGAGGGTTACTTGTGGTAACCTTTCTTTTTTCTTTTTAATTTGCTGCGGGCTGAAGCCCGCAACCTTTCTCAGTCACGGGCCTAATTGGGCCCATACGGTTCCTGAAGCACTCTGGGCCGCAGCCCAGAGTGCTAAAAACCCTAGGGGTCGAAAGACCCCTGGGTGAGAGAGGCGGCCGAACGCCCGCCTCTGTAGATGCCACAGCCAGATGGCCGCGACTGCCCCTCTCCGGCGCGGTCCATGGCCGTGACCGGTATTCCTCGATGCCGGCGGTGCCTAGGGGCTGCCGCCGGCCAAATGGCATGAAGTCCTTTTTAAAAAAAAAAAAAAAAACCTTATGCGGCAGCCATGGCTGCTGCTTTCTCCATTCTGCCACGGCCACAGGCCACGGCTGTCCCTTGCCGACACGGCCAAAGGCCGCGCCTTACCCACAGAGCCGGCGGCGGCAGAGGCTACCGCCGGTCAAAGAGATGATTTGGGTTCAATAAACCCAAATACCCAAAAATTGTTCTCTAAAATTATATCCGAAATTGTCCAAAATTGTTCTCAAAATCCAACAGCCCCAAACTTGAAATTGTTAAATTCAAGAAAAGCTGCAGATACAACACCTCAGCAGAAACAACAAAAGAAACCGGTTGAACCGGAAGATACAAGTTGTTACTTCTGTGGAGTTGAAGGGCATAGGAAGAAGCATTGCACCAACTATCACACATGGTGTGCTAAGAAAAGTATGCTCTGATACCACTTGTTAGAAATCAATAATTTGGTGAAAACCATCACCCAAAAGCCAAGAACATTCATGTTAGATCATCAAGAATTAATAAATCTGTAAGCGAAAGCGTACCTGAATCTATATTACTTGATTTCTCTCTAGAGTCGTGCAGTTTGTCTTCCAGATCAACACGTTTTCGCTGCGAACCTTTTAACTTTCTCTCTGTACTCTTTCTGTTGATGAGATGTCAGAAGGAATGAAAATGTTGCGTATGATCTGGGGACTATAACTGTCATTTATCGATAACTTCCCTGTTATCTTTTGGTATTTCTATTTTAGCCCATCATAAAAATAGAAATTACCCTTAAGTCTCTACTCATTAAAGGCCCACACCCTATTAGATACATTAAAGCCCAAAATACCTAAACCTTAGTATATCACTTTTAATTAGGCTTAACCTTATATGACAGCCCGCAACACATAATTATTCACATATAAGCCCAACGTTGGATTAAGGATCCAACACTTTTATCTTTCTATATTTGTCATATATCTTAAGGTCCAAGTTTCTTTCATGATTTCTACTTGCATTTTGTGAGATACAAGTCTTGTTTGATAAAGACACAAGTCTGAAACTTCCTCCTTTGGTCTTCTTGCATTCTTTATAACACAAATACTATTGGGGATTCTAAGAAATGAACATTTATATTCTTCCATTGTAATTGAGTTGAAACTGAATTCTCTTTCCTTTCGTTGCTTATACGTCATGGACTACTATGCGTAAACTCTTTTGCATTACATGCTAAAGTTTCATTAACAGGTAGGTAGTGCAGCTGCTTTTTTCCAGACTGGCATATTTTCTTCTGGGCGTTATTTTGTGGTCTTGGTTTCCTCAGTTTTTATAATTACATGGTTAAACTTAAGGTAAAAATTATGCTTTACACATTCAAGTGTTTCTTATATCAGAATAAGCTTAATGTTAACCTTTTATTCAGTGACTTCTAAAGTGTCTAATAGTAGATTGATTATTTCTTTTACTTTGGTATCCATTTCCAGACTCCAGTTTAGTTACAAATTATTATGGTGGTAAAATTTGTTAACCCTTTTTCTTTCCATTTTTTGTTGTCCATTTGCAGCAATGATGTTTACGATTTCGATACAGGAGCTGATAAGAACAAAAAAGAATCCGTTGTCAACCTCATCGGCAGGTAAGTTCAGTTCTTCACTTTTTTCTTCTTCTTCTTCTTCCTTTCTCTTTTTTTTTTTGTTGTTGTTGTTGTTGTTGGACATGTCGTTTGCTATCATACAATATATTAATTGGTCACTTGTGTGATGTAATGTTATCGGTTAGCCGTACAGGAACCCTTGTAGCTGCTTGCTTATTGCTTGCTCTGGGTTTCATGTTGCTGACTTGGACATCAATTCAGGCAGGAAATAAACGTGCAATATTGTTACTAGCATGTGCAATCACATGTGGCTATATATATCAGGTAAACATAACGATTAATACATTTGAAATAACTTGCAAACAAAGTCTTGCATGAATAGCGATTAGCTCAAGCATGTGAGTATTTGAACAAGCAATTTTCTTAGCCTATCACCTAATGCGCAGTCAGAGTAACCTTATGATTATGCGTTGACAATAGACAGATTACCAAAGTAAAAGGTTCATAGGGGTTACTTTCCTGAACCATTTTGGTCAACTATGAATGTATCAAAACGCATTTCTTGTGGAAATATTTTTGTTGTGTTGTCATTGCTAATGCTGTTATTGGAGACTCCTTTTAGTACAAAAAAAATTCTTTATGCTTTGTGTAGGAAATTCATTTTTTTTTTAAATATGTTTAAAATGATGAGTGCAGTGTCCACCATTTCGATTGAGTTACCAAGGACTCGGAGAGCCTTTGTGCTTTTCTGCATTCGGGCCATTTGCTACTTCAGCCTTTTATTTACTACAGAGCAGCACAAGGTCGCATGACTTGAATAATCTCGGTACAATAGTCTTGAATTTGAGTTTTTTTTGTCTCTATAATATTCCGTTCTTGCGGTTTTGACAGCGGTATTGGCCAACCCCTGACCGGCTCCATTCTTTCGGCCTCACTCCTTGTCGGCTTCACAACAACTTTGATCCTCTTTTGTAGTCACTTTCATCAGGTAGTAACACAAGCACACCTCCCATAATTTTATCCTTCCGCGTTTAAAGTGTTTGAACTGACATGACGTGCAAACTCAGACTGAGGGAGACTTGGCTGTTGGGAAACTCTCCCCTCTGGTGAGCATACTTTGTTGATCTTACAAACAAGAAAAGTCAAATATAACTTTAGTTGTACTTAAACAACTTCGATGACGAAACAACTAACGTAATTTGAACGTTGATCATCCTATCTGTTGTTTGCAGGTTAGAATTGGAACCGAAAGAGGTGCACAAGTAGTCAAGCTGGCAATCACCGCGCTTTATCTTCTTACATTTGGTTTTGGTCTAAGCAGCAAACTTCCTTTTACTTGTATTGTAAGTGACTAGACCACAACCGCTTGTTTCGAGTTATCGTCTCATTTGACCGATTCTGAACCTCGATCATGGTCTTTCCCAGCTTCTTTGTGCCTTTACCTTACCCATGGCAAGACTAGTAGTTAGCTATGTTGAAGAGAACCACAAGGTGAGATTGACTATTTTCAAACTTGTACAACACTAGATGGCTAAAAGTCGTGTTTCAAATCTCTTCATGTTTTGATCTGATCATATCCAATATTTGGTCCAATCCATCATATTTGGCAAAAATCTGGTGGCCGTAGCTGGAGTTTAGAGATGCATTACACAAAGAGAGAAATGATGATTCGTTGAGAAATCCGAAAAGCAGTAATTTTGATTTTCAATTTTTCTGGCATTCGAGTGTTATTATTATTATCAGTTTTTTTGAAAAGTTTATTTATTTTTTCTGATATTAATTAGACAAAGTTGTCAAATGCAATATTTCTTTTATATAGAGCAAAAGTCTTTTCACATAGTTAATTTAGACTAAATCAAGTGCAATATATATATATATATATTATTTATGAAAGTGTACTTTCACAGGACAAACAGAAGATTTTCATGGCAAAGTATTACTGTGTGAGACTGCATACAGTATTTGGGGCTGCATTGGCTGCTGGTCTTGTGTTGGCTAGACTGCTCCGGAGAAGACAAATCCCAGCAGCAATAATTCTTTCTTAAAAGTTTTGGAGGTGAAAAAATAATTATTATTTCCCACCCATTTGTAAACAATAAAATATGAACTTGTAAAGGTGGGATCACATAGAATTAGCAATTCTTTGCCTTTAACCTATGCAATAAAGGTGCATAGTTGATTTTAGTACAAAACAAAGCTTTTATTTTAATGAAATTACTGGAATGTTTTACTGGCTTTAGAGAAACTGATTGAAAACAAAGAAGTTGAACGTTGAAGCCTACATGAAATTTGAATGGTGGGGCTACAGAATTTTAAATATATAGAACTATTACTTTCCTAAAATAATAGCCAAAATTAAATATTATAAGGAATTAAAAAGGGTCAAAAGAGAATATATGATAAATATTGTTGAGAAAAGCATATGTGTGTGTTGTCCTGCATGAAAAGTGGATGAGAATGTGAAGTGATTTATATGCATGGAAGGATCCAAGACTAAATAAGTTAACTTTTTGGATCAAGTTAGGCTCTTGAAGTGTGTTTGGCTAGTTTTGCATGTGGTGTCTCCCCAACAAGTGGTATCAGAGACGATGATTTTGTCACACCCTGAAGCAGGGGTCGGTGACGTGGAGCTCGATTAGGGGATAAACGCATGATAATAAAGAAAATTCCCAACGAGCCCCACACTTAATTAAATAAATTACATTACAGGACCTATCCACATGATCTTCATTATCGTATATACATGACATGTAAATAAAACATTACATACATCATCCACAGTCTAGAAATCCAAATATCAGAGTTTACAAATTCTTACATTTATCCAAGAGGATGAACACAATCCTCTCCAACCTAAGATGGTAGCAATCTAACTCAACTACTTGCTTTTAGAATTTCCTAGGAAGGGTTTAATATATATATATATATATATATATATATATATAATAATAATAAAACGTGAGCGAAAGGCCCAGTAGGATATAATTTGAAATAACTTTATAAATAAATAGATAAATAAATGAGCGAGTAAATAAATAAGATATTCAGTTCCAACACAACAGTTGGAACCTCATATCTTTTTTCTCAAAGGAAATATAACTGAAAATCACCGTATTACAGGCATCAGCAAGTAATTTATACTGAGATAAATTACTTACACATCCAAGTGCACAAGCCATATCACCCCTGGGGTTTTGGGTTCTGCCCCCAAGGATGCACTCTCCACATCCTATTTTGGCCATCAGCCACTTTACCGGTTCGCAAGATCTCTTATCTTAAGAAATCATTCATTAAACTTTCTGAAATCGTTTATTATAATTCCCACGAACTACAACAAGCCGTGGGTCCCATAAACTACAACAAGCCATGGTTTTCAAAGATTTTTCTTTCGCAAACAAGCCCATTTCTTTAAAACATTTGTAAGGCCAAACCCTTTTAAAATCAGGCTCATAAGGAAAAAGGGTCAGAAATCCTACCTCGTAATTATCAAACTTGTGGCTAGCGGTGCACTATTCCGGCTTCCGCTTCCTCAAGCCACTCAATCTGAGTCCTCAGTTAGCACTGATGCAAAACAAAACTTTAGGATCCCAATCTCATTCCTAAAGTAATTCAAACTCAATCACATCTTTTTGATTTCCTATTAGTGTGCCTTAACTCAAATCTAAGTTTTACAATCGATTTTTATAATCAGTTTGGGGGTTCTTTAAAGATCGAAATCAAATTCATGGAATTGGTTTCCTATTTAATTTCAGTTTAAAATCAACTTTTTAAAGAAATTTCGGCAGCATGGCGGCATAAATAGAAAAAATACGAAACCTGCAATTCAAGTTCAATTTCAAAATAAATTCTCCAGAATCCATCAAAACCAGTTTCCAATCAACTAAACAAGTCCAATAACTGAACACCCCCAAATTTCAATCAATTCCAACAACAATTGTTCAAATCCAAACCCTAACTCAAAATTATTCAAATCTAACCAAAATTTCAAATTCTCAAACTAATAACTCAAATCCAAATATGAATTTTCAAGAAATCCTTACCTCAAAGGGATTGAAACCCGTTTCTCTCCATTTCCCTCATTTTCGTTCGTTTTTCTTTTGCTTGCTTCGGCTAAGATCAGCCGAGAGAGAGAGAGAGAGAGACGGCCGGAAGAAGGGAGAGAGAGAGATCCTGAATGAGGTTGGCCGGCATTGAAGAAGAAATGAGAGAGAGAGAGGGCGGCAGTGGGAGAAACCAGAGGAGAGAGAGAGGAAATGAAAAGAAAGAAAGAGAGAGAGAGAGAGAGTGGTCTGTGGGCAGCCACGAGAAGGAAGGAAGAAAAGGAAAAAGAAGGAAAAAAAAGAAAAAGGAAAAATAAAAGAAAAAAAAATAGGTGTCTAAATATTTAAAATACAGTCCAGAGAATGTGTCTACACACACTTATGGGGAAAAATATAATTACTGAAAATATTTAAATTCCTTGAAAATATTTAAATTTACATGTCAGAAATATTTTAAAAAATCAATAATAAATTAATTAAACCGGACGAGGCACACTAATAAATCTCAATTAATCTCATTTAATTCTTCGGGGTGTTATAACTCCACCCCCCTTAAGGAATTTCATCCTCGAAATTAGGACTTACCTCAAACTGCAAACAGATGCGAGTATCGCTCCTGCATCGTCGTCTCAAGCTCCCATGTCACTTCCTCAACTCCATGGTGCTGCCATAATATTTTCACTAACGGGATCTCACGATGACGCAAACTCTTCATCTTCCGATAAAGAATCTAGACTGGTTCCTCCTCGTATGTCGTGTCATACTGTATCGGAACGTCATACCATTGTACCACGACTTCCAGATCAAGTTGACATTTTTGAAGCATGGAGACATAGAACATGTCATGCACGTGAGATGACTCGGGCGGTAACACGAGACGATATGCCATAACACTAACTCGTTGCACGATTGGGAATGGTCCAACGTACCTTGGCACAAGTTTCCCTTTCACACCAAAACGTACAACTCCTTTGCATGGCGAAACCTTCAACAAAACGAAGTCGCCTTCCTAGAAGTCCAAAGGTCTACACCTTTTGTCCGCATAGCTCTTCTGACGACTTTGAGCTGTTAACAGTCGTTCCCGAATCACAGCTATCTTTTCATTATTCTCTTGAATAACTTTTGGTCCAGTGGTGAGTCGATCCTCTAGTTCCAACCAACACACAGGTGAACTACAAGGACGACCATAGAGAGCTTCAAATGGTGCCATACCGATACTGGCCTGATAGTTATTGTTATAAGCAAACTCAGCAAGGTGAAGATATTTCTTCCAGTTTCCACCAAAATCCAGAATGCAAGCACGAAGCATATCCTCCAGAATTTGAATAACTCTTTCAGATTGCCCATCAGTCTGAGGATGAAATACCGTGCTGAACTTCAATTCTGTTCCCATGGCTTCCTGGAAACTTTTCCAATACCTTGCATTAAAATGTGTGTCACGATCGGACGTAATCAATAACGGTACCCCGTGAAGTCTCACGACATGCTCCAGGTACAATTCTACTAGAACCTTTTGAGAATACGTCGCACAAAACGGTATGAAATGTGCAGATTTCGTCAACCTGTCCACCACCACCCAGATGGCATCGTGCCTATGCTCAGTTCTCGGTAGTCCCATTAAAAAATCCATCGTGATGTGTTCCCATTTCCATCCCGGAACAAGTAAAGACTGCAACTCCCCTGCTGGCTTCTGATGCTCAGCCTTAATCCGGAGACAAGTTACACATTCTGAGACGTACTCACGAATGTCTTTCTTCATACCTCTCCACCAAAATTATCTTTTCAGATCCTGGTACATCTTTGTACTTCCCGGATGAATGGCATATCGCGACTTATGAGCCTCATGTAGAATTGTCTTCTTAATCTCGTCCACCTTAGGAGCGGCTAGGCAGTTGCGAAAGTGCAATGCCCCATCCTCTCAGATTCTCCAATCCTCGAGTTGCTCTCTATTCTGGATTCGAATCCAGATTCCTTAGAGATGAGGATCCTGGCACTGATTCTGCTTGGCTTGTTACACAAGGGCCGGTGTGGAGATCAGATTATACACCATTGCCTGGTTATAATCCTCGTGATACTGAAGTTCATATTCACTCACCACTTCAGTTCTTTTCCAGTCCTCCAAAGCTAATGATGCCATAGTTCCTGTAGTTTTTCGACTAAGGGCATCAGCTACCATATTAGTTTTTCTCGGATGATACTGCAGCGTGAAGTCATAATCTTCCATGTACTCCACCCATCTCCTCTGCCTGAGGTTTAGATCTTTCTAAGTAAATAAGTACTCAGAAAAGACCCGAAACCTTGCTCCATAGAGATAACATCTCCATATCTTCAGAGCAAATATCACCGCTGCTAGCTCCAAATCATGAGTGGGGTAATTCTGTTCATGTGGCTTCAATTGGCGAGATGCATAGGCTACAACGCGTCCACCTTGCATCAAAACACAACCAAGTCCACTCCCCTAGGCGTCAGAGTACACCTCATATTGCTCCTCACTATCGGGTATAATCAAAACTGGTACCCTGGTTAGTCTTACCTTCAATTCCTGAAAGGCATATTCACACTCAGTGTTCCATTCGAATCTGAATTCTTTTCTGGTCAACTGAGTCATCGGCACCGCAATGCTCGAGAAGTCCTTTACGAAATGCCGATAGTACCTTGCGAGTCCGAGGAAACTTTGAATCTCTGCCACATTTTTTGACCTTTCCCACTGTAGCATAGTCTCAATCTTGGAAGGGTCCACAGAAATTCATTGTCCTGATATCACATGCCCAAGGAACTGCATTTCCGTCAGCCAGAAGTCATACTTCTCTTTCTTCGCATACAACTGGTGTTCAGGAAGAGTCTGAAGAAAAATTCTTAGATGTTGCTCATGCTCTTCCCAAGTCTTCGAATAAACCAGAATATCATCGATGCAGACGATTACAAACTGGTCTAGGGACATTCGTCAACCCAAAAGGCATTACCAAGAACTCGAAGTGCCCATACCGAGTTCTAAAGGCAGTTTTCAGGATATCTTCCTCCTTAATCTTCAGTTGATGGTACTCAGACCTCAAGTTAATCTTAGAGTAATATTGTGATCTACCTAACTGATCGAATAACTTATCGATCCTTGGCAGTGGGTATTTATTTTTCACAGTTACCTTATTCAAATGACGATAGTCAATGCACAACCGAAGAGATCTGTCGTGCTTCTTCACAA